TAGCCTGAAGCTGCTTACCTTTGAGACCTTTACGTTTTATGGGGGTGCCCGTTCTGCTTTCTAACTCTAACTCCATCGCATCCGAGAAAACTGTCCAAGCTCGGTCCAGGACCCCCCAAACTAAACCGACATCCTCGTGGTCAGCTCTACGGTTCGCCTCTTCGGCCACAGCTCGGGCCACGGACCAATCGATCGGCGGTGGGGTGGGGCCGATGGGCAGCTCAACTGGAAGTTTCTGGTGAGTCTGGTACACCAGCTGCTGCAGCTTGGTTGCCCCAGGCCTTAAACGAAGCTGAACTGGGCGATGGGGCCGCTTCGGCCACGTACTGTCAATCTCGGTGGCCTCCACAAGCTTGCAGAAAGCCGCCGCCGCCATGAAATAATCGATCTTGGCGTTTGCTTTCGGTGTAGCACACGTTTCGATACTGGGCTGCAATATCATCATGGAGGCCTTGCGGGGCATGCCAGACGCCTCTGCCACTACTGCTGAGAAATTCCAATCAGCAGCAAACACCGAGAGATGTACACCTTCTAAAACTGCACCTGCGTGTCTTAAAATCTGGAGGTTTCGCTTGCTCAGACCCTCACTGGTGAACATGCACGCGCAACCTGCTAGCAACTCGGGCCACAGATCAGCCTGTGTTGGATAAGTACACCTCTGGGCAACTTAGTGGGCCACCTCAGGCCGATAGACGTTCTTGCCAGTATGGCCACTCCAGCCGACGTCTGACCACCCGCACACTTGACCGAAGAGGCACAGAGCATGTTCCAGCCTAAACGCTTAGCTGTCGAAGTTCTCGCCGCAAGATCCTCTTCGGTAATACCTATTTTCTTGTGCAAACACCACAAGAGCCTGTGTACTCATCAGTCTCTTCTTGAGCGTGCCCCAGCTGTTCCCATTATACGATTCAAACACGTGCGCCTGACCCTCCATGTCAGCGGGGGCTGCGGCTTTCGGCGGTAAGCCTACTCCGTGGGCCGAGACACGCAAACCAGTGCACTTGGGCCCCAGGTGGGGCCGCACACGGGCACCGTCAAGCAAAACTGATGGCTGCGGGGACGCAGGAGGCCTCAGAAGCTCGGGCACGCCGTTGTGCCTGACGACTCGCACCTCGTCGAACTCACCGAAGTTGATACCCTGGCCGTACTGCAGCACATCCAACAGGTACCACACAGCCTTCAGGTCCTCGAACGCCTGTAGCCTGAGCCACTTCTCGTCACAAGTAACCCCGAAGAAATGCACAGCGTCACCAGGTAAGGCTTGGGAAACATCTGACACTTGATCGTCAGTAGCCTGTCTCTGATGAAGCACGTCGCCAGGAGCATCTGGCTTGCGTCTGACACCCTCAGATCCCGTAGAACCTGAGGTATGGTTTTTCTCACTGCGTGAAGCAAAAGGTTTGGATGAGAAGCTCGCCATCGGCCTCGCCGAGCCATGCCACCTAGCCCAGGACGGGTAGTGGCTAAAGCTGCGGCGCGGTCTTCGGCTTCTTGAGCTTGGCGCCCAAAAGGGCTTGGGTGAAGGCTCGCTTGTCGCCACGGTGCTTCTCCCAGAAAGCTTCGGCAGCTGCTTCGTCTTGGAAGGCATCGTCCATCTCCGCGTCGTGTTGCGTGGGCACATGCTCAGCACCGTTGGCGTGGGACTCAGATGCATCAGCGCCAGGATCAGCAGCGGCACGATGCACAGCGAACAACTTAACGAACTCCTTGAACTCGGCCGTTTCGAGCATCGACTTGATCGCGTCTTTGCCTTCCAGGGCCTCAGGAGGGAGAGACAGATCAACAGGCCGCCTGTCACCACCGTCAGCAGCTTGACCAGGAAGTGACTGCACATGCTGCCGTTGCAGCTCAGCCACCTCAGCCTCCGCTGCGACCTTGCGCGCCTTGATCTCGTCCGTCTTGGCATTGAGCTCGTCGAGCAACTTGTTATGCTCCTCAAGCTCTGTCGTGACCTTCTCCATCTTCGTCGTAGCCCGAGCCAATCGATGCCCCACATTGGTGTGCTGCGTGATGCTCGGCTTCTTGCTCTCGATCTCCGCACGCACCGTCTTGAGCTTGTTCTCCAGGAGCGTCCGTGCCTCGGTTGTGTCGTCACCTTTGCCACAGGCCTTAATCGCACACTCGAGCTCGAGCACACGTGCCTGTAGTGGATCCTGTCCGTCACCACCGCCTCCTCCATTGGACTGTGCGCCACCATGCTGACCAGGCCCTTGTCCAATAGTAGGGGCTCGGGCAGACTTGGCGCCTCCACCGATGAACTGGTCCAGCTTCTTCTGCATCTCGGCCAGCTGGGACTCCAGTTTGGCCTCGCGCCTTGACCCTGCAGCAGGTTGACGGCTGCGCCCAGGATCCATCCGAGTAGGGCTCCCGCCGCCGTTGCCAAAGGCCTTGGCGCGCTGCAGCACGAACGCGGGGGCCTTCGCCCCCGCAGCGGCACCGCAGCCTGCACGCCCAGTTGCTGGTGAGCCCGCAACTCTGGCAGCCCCAGAACGGGGTCTTGGGGCCGCGGACCACATCTGCACCATCCATGAAGGCCGCCGCACCGCTGTGCCCGCGACCGTGTCCCTCGGAGCGCCGAGGGTCGAAAGGGTTGCACCGCCAGGTGCTCACTGAAAGCTAGCTGAGGCAGCCAGGCCAATGGAAGGGGCTGCCCTTCCACCTCAGCCTCGAGCCTCTGGAGTCGGGACGGGAGGTAAACTCCGTCTTGAGCCAAAATGGCTACGGGCTGGTCTGGCTCCTGGCTTGGCTCCTGGTTATTGCTTGGCTTGGCCCGGTTCGGCCTGGCGCCCCACCCGTGCTATATCCTCCGCGCGGCGTCGCCTGGATTTTGAATTTTCAAAACCGACTTTTGAATTCAAACAGCAAGCTCTGAGAATACAAGAACATGTTCCTGGAATTCTAAAACCGGTTTTTGAATACAAAAACCGTCCTCACAGTCTCCTGGCTTGGTCTTGTTCTGGTGCGGCGTCGTCTGCGGCGTCCTCAAAAGTTGCGCTTGGTGTGTCTCGGTCTCGGCGCGGTGTCGCAGGACGCGTCCGCACAGCTTGCCTGATTCGGTTTTGCTCCAGTGCTGTTTCGCCTGTGGCGTCCTCACGATGTCCCTGGTTTGGCCTCGTTTGCGCGAAGCTTCGATTGAGACGTCCTCGCGATTTGCTGGGTGTGGCTGCGATTTCGCTTGAAACGTCTTCAGTGCCCACTTTTGAAGGATGCTTTGCTGTAGGGGCCAGTACAGTCGGGGGCTCCGCAGTTTCAGACTAGACCTCTCCATCCCTGGGGGGGCTGCGAAGTTCGAAATTGTTGCCACTTTCGAGGGCGGCTGGGGGAGGGGGGGTCAACACAGTCGGGTCCTACGCAGATCCAGATTAGACCTTGCTATGCCCGGGACGGCTGCGAAGTGTGAAGCTGTCCGCCACTTTCGAGGGCTGCTGGGTGGGGGCAGTCCAGTCGGGTCCTACGCAGATCCAGAGTAGATCTCGCCATGCCTGGGGCGGCTGCGAAATGTGAAGCTGTCGCCACTTTCGAGGGCTGCTGGAGGGTGGGGCAGCACAATCGGGTCCTACGCAGAGTTTCTACTTGATGCTCTCTCGGGCCACGAATGTCGACAACATTTGGATGCCGCGGAGCCCGCGGCCAGATCCTTCCCCGTTGGCCGTCTCGCCTTCTGATCGGTGTCTTCGAACTCCCGCAACGCGGGGGCTTCCCATGCATCTTCCCTGACATGTTGCGGTCTTTGTCATATCATTATCCGTGAAACAATTTGCAACAATTCTTCTCAACTGTTGCAGATGGGTTGGGTACGACACATAATAATCTACACGGGGTCGTGGCCGGCATTGAGGCGAGAGCACACTACCCTTATACATTGGGAGGTAATATCAAACCAAAAGGCTGCCAGGCGGGCCACCTGCGGACCAGGCGATCTCGGGCACCCCGTCCCCGCTGTGGGACTCTTCTGCGGATATTTCGTGCCACGATTGGAACCCTCCAGCGAAACGCTATGGGGCAACAAGAAAAGTGTAGGAAGAGACAAGGGATGACAGCGGAAAGGTGACCGGACGAAGAGGAGGAGGAGGAGGAGGAGGAGGAGGAGGAGGAGATGAGGAGATGAGCAGATGAGGAGGAGGAGACGGAGGAGGAGGAAACGTTCGGATAGCTCCATTGCCGTCAATGCCGCACTGCCTCAGGAGGGGGTGGCCAGGAGAGGGCGCCTGCCTCCACAGTGGTGCGCAGCCGATTGCGGGGCGCCGCTGCTCGATCAAGTCCTCCCCCTCATCCCTCCCGCCCTCGCCGCCCCCTCCTCGCCCTCGTCCCCTTCCTCTGGGCCGGGTGCCATGTTCCCACCACTCTTCCTCCTCCACACATCACTGCCTCTCCTCCCCCACACCTCCCAACCCTCCTTCCCAAGGTCTCCCACTGCCCCACTCTCCCCCCCCCGTCTTCCCGCCTCGTCGTCTGCCGTCTCCCCCTCATCCTCCATCTCCTCCTCATCGTCCTCTGTATCGCCCTTCTCCAACTCATCCTCCTCCTCGTCGATGTTCTGCTCCTCGTAGTCATCCTCCTGCATGCTCCTTCTGTTTCTCATGACCATTCCGTCGCATTCCCCTGCCCGTCTCCCTCTTTCTGGCGCGTACTTGGACACGCTGGCCCGCTGACCCCAACCAACTGCGTTGACCACGGGCCCGTCGGATTCGTGGCGCTCGGCGGGTTGGCCACAGACCCCCGCGGCTCGTCCACGGATTTTGATCGGTTGACATTCGTTCTGCGTCTTTTCCCCCTCTCTACCCTTAGGTCGGGCCTGTCCCCCCACAGGGGGATTGTGGGCAAACAATTGGAAATACCCAATACATATTCAAACATATTCAAAAACACACACACACACATACAAAAAAGTCCCTTTACTATTCAACACCTATTTCTAAATATTCCTCCTGTGCAGGGGCACGCCCGACTTAACTCTTCTACCCCCTCGCTCGTCGCCGTTGCCCCCCGGTCCCAGCGGCCTCGCACGCACCAGGCGGCTCCCAGGCGGACCAATCCGACAGGACGCAGTCCTGCGGGAGGAATGCCCAGTCGGGCGAGAAGGGGGTGGGAATCGTGGGGAAACTAAAGGATGCCGCTGCTCCCCAGACCTCTACCGGGTGTTGCATTCTGACCAGACTTTCGAGGCGAACCTTGCCGGGGCGACGAAGGCCTCCCGGGAGGCCTGAAGCAGGTGACAAGGCGGGAAGGGCAGCGGTACGGGCACCTCTTCCCCCTCTGGGATGGCAAAGGGCTGGCAGAGGCGAAACGCGTGGACAGCCCAGGGGCGGGCATCACCGCGCACTCGCCAGGGAGCCTCGCCGATGTCAGCGGGGCGATCGGAGCCGCAGGACACATGCCAAATGCCTGTGCTCCTCGATGGTCCTCGACGTGGAAAAAAAAAACCAGACCCCCGACGTCGTGATTTCTTCGTGGCGTGACTCCCAGGAGCCTGGACCCCTTCCCAGGGACTGGTCTTTCATCCCGAATCGTCTCTTGACGGCCCCGAGGCCCGGCGACGGCCCCTGGAGACCGAACAGAAAGACAGACCTCCCGCCACGACTTCTTCACGCCGCGAGGGGGTCTGGGAAGGCGCACGCCCGAGCGGGGCCCCTAGGTGCTGCCCCCACCCTGGGGCTATAGGTCCGCCCCTGCGGCGGCCGCCGAGGGGGGCGGACGACTCCGCTCGCGCGGCTCGTCACCCCGGCGCCCCCCGACGCCGGGGGCGGCCATGTCAGCGACGGAAAGGAACGGGCCTCACAGTCGGGCCGCTGAAAGAAGAAGCGCTAACTAAGGAGGGCGATTGAGGAGGAGGAGGAGGAGGAGGAGGAGGAGGAGGAGGATGAGGAGGAGGCAGATGAGGAGGCAGATGAGGAGGAGGAGGAGGAGGAGGAGGAGGAGGAGGAGGAGGAGGGCCCCAAAGCCGCCCTCATTCACGAGGAGGGCTGGAGGAACAGCTATGGAAGGACCTACGGAACATCGAGCCCCGTCCGAACCCTGACTGTTCCTCATGCCAGCGTCCTGACTGGACGCCAGAGGCGGCCATCTGAGCGACGAAAGGAAACGGGCATTACGTAAGACGAAGCAAAGACGAGGATACATTGGGGCGAGGATTAGTCGAGAATCTCTGAGACCCCGCGGCTCTGGAGGATGTCTCGGGCACCACGGCCTTCTCAGAGCGTTCCAGAACGCTCTTAGAGCGTTCTGGAACGCTCTGGAACGAACTTATCCTCGTCCTAGCCTCCTAGCCCCCCGCCCCTTGCGATAACGCGAGATGACAGGGCCGCCAGCGCGGCACGCCATTTTGGAGACGAGGGCGCTTACGCGCGACCATACGCCATACGCGGGCAACTTGCGCGCGAATGTCGGCGAAGACGGCACCGTTTTCCTGCGCCGCCAGTGGGCCAAGGCAGTAGAAAGCGCGCCCAGCGGGACCTCAGCCCCAGTCTATTATCGAGAACATGGTGCACTGGTCCGAGCCACCGGCGGCTGCTGGTGATGCTGGTGGCGATAGACTTGGTAGTCACTATCGGGCCACCGTCGGGACACCATCGACACACGGGACACCAATCGGGACACCAATCTGGACACCGCCAGGACACCATCGGGACACCACTGTGACACCATCGGGACACCATCGGGACAACATCGGAGCACCATCGGGACGCCACCAAAACACCATCGGAACACCCTCTTGACACTGCGGCCGACGGGCACCATCGGGACAACCTCGGGACACCATTGCAACACCACCCGGACACCACCAAGACACCATCGGAACAACATCAGGACACCGCGGGGCACCACGGACCACCATGGGACACCACAGGACACCATGAGACACCACGGCGAGTCACCCCAGTGGAGGGTTGATTCCTCTCGCCCGCCCACGCAGCTTCGCCTAGTCCGCTCGCACGACACCGAAACCGATTCCCCATTATACGGTAAAGGGGGTCTCCGTTCTTTCTCGATCTCCCCCAAAACCTTCCAATCTCTACCTGTTCGGACCACCCTTCGGGTGATAAGCAGGCTCGGGGGAGAAAGAACCAACTGAAGACAACTGTGATAATTGTGATGGTGGCAATGCTGGTGATTCGCCCACGAAGTGGCGACGATGCAAGACGGCGATGCTGACGACAATGCATGGTGGCAATGGGGTAACACACCTGCGATCCATTGATTTCGTTCCATCGATCTCACAATTGTTAGGTCGTGCATGTCCCCCTACAGGCGGATTTTGGACTCACAATAAAAATATCAAATCAATACAACAAAACAAATCGCCAAAAATAGTCAGCAAATCGTCCCCAGACTATGTTTTGACTATTTTTGAACATTCCTCCTGTAGAGGGACCCACCCGACTTAGCACTAGCGATCCTGGAAACCACCTCGATACGATCAGGGCACCATCGCGACCTCGCCATACCATCGGAACACCATCGGGGACACATCGGGACACCATCCATCAGGACCTCGCCGGGGTACCATCGGGACGCCAACCGAATTCCCCGTGGGGAGCTCTCCGTTCCACTTCGACTTCACCCCACAACTTCGATCGATCTATATATATATACATATAAATAAATAAATACACATACATACATACATTCACAAATGAGCAAATCAATAACATACATGAAAAATAAAATGCGTTGCCCCTGATGTGCGCGCCGCCAGCAAACGATGCCCTCGCCCGCCGAGCCCCTCCGGGCCTGCAGGCCGGCGGTGCCCTCCGTGCACCGCTCGGTCTGCGACAAGCTGCCGCTGCAGAGCTTGCCACCGCAATCGTGCATCCTGCCAGCGCGGATGGGGACGATCCGCTTCCTCACTCCTCCTCCTCCTCCTCCTCCTCCTCCTCCTCCTCTCCTCCTCCTCTCCTCCTCCTCCTCCTCCTCCTCCTCCTTCTCCTTACTCCTCCTCCTCCTCCTCGTCCTCCTCCTCCTCCTCCTCCTCCTCCTCCTCCTGATCACTCCTCCTTCTCCTCCACATCCTCCTCCTCGTCCTCCTCCTTCTCCTCCTCCTCCTGCTCCATTCATTTGCGGGCCAGGCGTTTCGCCCGAGAGTTCCTTACAATTTCTGAGCCTGAAGTTTAGAAGGTGGCAGCATTTTACAGATGGAGGGCGGGTCGCTTCCAAAATGTGGCTCTCACCTTAGCGCAATGCGCAATCGTCTTAGACAAGTGCCGTGCCGTGCCGCTGGGCTTGCTCGCCGGTGCCGTGCCGTGCCGAAATAAAGTCGTCGGAGCTCTGGACACAAGCGCAACCTCATGAATCACCTTCATGTCGCAAACCCCGGACGTGTCGGTAGGGCGGGCCAGGCATTTCGCCTGGGACGTCCGCACCACTTGTGATCGTGAAACTTCAGCGCGTAAGAACTTCACGGGTGGAGGGCGGGTTGTTTTCAAGATGTGGCTCTCGCCCCAACGCCGCGCACATCTCTCTTAAACGTCGGCAACAGCTTCACGGACAGAGGGCGAGCCGTTTTCAAAATGTGGCTCTCTTCAGAGCGTCGCGCACACTCGTCTTAAGCAGTTGCAGCGGCTTCGCGGATGGAGGGCGGCTCCTTTTCAAACTGGAACTCTCACCTTAGCGCCGCGCACGTTCGGCATAAAAGTTTGCATCAACTTCGCGGATGGAGGCCGGCTCCTTCTCGACCTCGGGTTCTCGCCCTAGCGCCGCGACAAGTCGTCCCCTTTCTTGCAACAACATTGGTTGTTTTCAAAATGGGACTCTCGCCTCAGCGCGGCGCGCATCCGCTTTCTAATGCAACGTGTAGCAGGGTGGAGCTGTCTCTGGAGACGTCCTCGGGTTCGTGACCACAAGTGTAAACTTGTGCAGCAGTTACACGGATGAGGGGTCCTATTCGAAATGGGGTATCGCGCTGGACAGTTTGTTTTGGAGAAGCCCAGAGGTTTGCGATCTGACCAGAGTTTCGAGGCGAGTCCAGCGGCGGCGACGAGGGCCTTCCAGGAGGCTGAAAAAGAGAGAGAGAGAGACGGGCGGAGAGGTGTGGAGATATGGGTCTCTTTTCCTCCTCGGATGGCTTTCGTTCGGGACTGCGCGCCAGAAAGGTGCCAGACAATTCCTGTTCAAGAAGTGGGGCCCTCGCCAGAATGACAGGCCCAAAGCCGTGCTGCTCGTTCTAGGGTTAGGTCGGGCATGTCCCCCGACATGCGGATCTTTGACGAAAAATTAGAAAGATACCAGCAGTGTACCAACAGTAATGATCAAACAAATATCAAGTATCGTCCCCTGACTATTTTCTGACAATTTCTGCAGATTCCTCCTGTAGAGGGACAGGCCCGACTTAATTCTAGGGGGGCGCTACTTGCAGCGACAAGGCGGACTTTTGCAGATGCGTGCGAGGAGGGGGCGCGGGATGGACGGGAGGGTGTAACTGCAGCATCGCCTGCGCATCTTTGGTGTACAGTATTCGGCCTGACCTAAGGAAAGATAAATAAGGAACGAAGCCCCTCTTTTTCCCAAGTAAGTCTAGGAAGTCCGAAGGAACAGCAGGGGGCTCGCCGCCAAAAAGGTAGCGGAACGCATGCAAACCAAAGGAACGACCGAGCCCCTTTTGAAAAACAAATGCTCCATATTCAAGCTGGACCCTGCACTCTGGTCCTGCTCCTTCTCTCTCTTTCTTACGTGCGTCCGCTGGCACTGTCGCGCGCGTGCGCGCTGAAGCTAGACACGCGTGCTACGACACTGGCTGGCTCATGGCGACCCCGAGAGCCAACACAAAAAACGCCATAAGCATGAGCTTGTGGCGCTCCGCGCGGATTTCTTGGATCCGCGCTGGGCCCCCCCCGGCGGCGCCTCCGGCGCACGCGTCAGGGAAGGGGGCCATCCGCGCGGAGCGCCAAAAGTTTCTGTTTATGGTGTTCTTTCTTCTTCGATTCTCCTCCTCGTCCTCCTCCCACGTCGTGATGTCGTCGGTGTTCGTCTCTCACACCGCACCGCGCTGCGTGGATTATTCAACCTTGAAGGATCGCGGTTTTCCGATAATGCAGATCTGTCGGTATCTACCGATTCTGGGTCACTGGCAGCGTTCAACCTGGAACGCCCGTGCCGGCGTCGGCGCCGCGTCGACGCGGCTCGAACATGCCGTACCACCGAATAGTCCTGACGATGTCGCGCTGCCGCTCGCAGAGCAAGTTGTCCGTGGCGGCGCCCCAGTCCTGGCCGGCGTCGCTGAGTCAGCGGGTAACGCCGGGCAGGGACCCCAAGCGGCTCCCAAGAGGCCCCCACCCCAAGAGGCCTCCAAGAGGCTGGAAGGGGGCCCCCGAGAGGCTCCAAGTCACGCCCCTCAGTCCTACTGTTCGCATTCGTCACCATAGACCACGGGCGGCTGACCCATGATTGTGCTTGGTTGGGCGGGGCAAAGCATCGCACTACCAGATGCCAGCCACATCTGGCCTGCAGCGATCGGTGGTAGCGACAAGAAAGCACAATGCTTATCGTCGTCCCCGGCCGGCCCCTTTCAAAACGTTGCGGGGATCCTGCAACTGGTGTGGGGGACCTGGTCCACGCTAGCTGGGGTGGAGGCCCCTCCTCCTCCTCCTCCTCCTCCAACACCTCTCCCTGCTCATCATCTCTTCACTATTTATCATCCTCAAACACCTCGCACTCCGCTCCCTCCTCGTGCTCCTCCTCCTCCTCATCATCATCCTCCTCCTCCTCATTCTCCTCCTCCTCACCATCACCACCACCACCACCACCACCAGCACCAGCACCAGCACCACCACCATCACTCTCCATTTCCTCGGGCCCCCGACGTGCTGTTTTTGTTTGCGAAGCGTGTGAATCTAGATCTCTCGACACCATCATTACGTGAGCTGCGATCGCACCGTACCTTAGTGCTCAGATGCAGTGAAAGCCGTGGCGCTGCCCACACTTGTGTATGTGATATCTGTGCTATGTCACCGTTTTGGCCCCAACCGCTGAAAAAGGGGCCCTAGACCTTGATACCCACACTGCAGCGTTCAGTATCAAGCACAGTTGCGTATCGATGTCTGGATTGATTGAATCTTCTTGCTGGGATGCTGCGCTGGTGCGTGTGGACCATGTTTCACGTCACATAATCACATGTGTCCGATGACTCCGAGGCTTATTCCCTTTGAGAACTATGTAAGCCTGGCTGGAGAAATACAGGAATTCCTTATCCCACCTCCCCTGGGATCTGCCCTGGCGCGTGGTCTGACCAGGCTTTCGAAGCGGGTCCAGCTGTGGCGACGAAGGCCCGCAGAGAGGCCCCCAAAAAGCAGCACACGTCAACCCCCTCCCCCTCCTCCTCTTCCTCCTCCTCCTCCTCCTCCTCCCCCTCCTCCTCCTCCCCCTCCCCCTCCTCCTCGTTCTCCTCCTGCCCCTCCTCCTCCTCCTTTTCCTCCTCCTTGTCCTCCTCCTCCTCCTCCTCCTCCTCCTCCTCCTCCTCCTCCTCCTCCTCCTCCTCCTCCTCCTCCTCCTCCTCCTCCTCCTCCTCCTCCTCCTCCTCCTCCTCCCTCCTCCTCCTCCTCCTCAACCTCCTCCCCCTCCTCCTCCTCCTCCAGCTAGTTCGAGACATCCTGGAATTCGCCGCGTATGTAGGTGTCCAAGGTATGTAGCGATATCGTCGACACTGAGAAGGGCTCGAGTCCGCCAACGGATTCTAACCCCCCCGACCTCGCCCTGGAGCTCCTGGACCCCCCTGTGCCTCCTGGACGGCTGGCGGTGCGGGTGCCGGGCCGCTCTGGACTGGGGGGCCGTCAGGGTCGACGAAGCTAAGGGGGGCGGGGCAAAAACTCGTGTTCCGCTGTGCCAGGTACGCCCGCGACAGGTGGTCGGGCCTGTTTTCCCCATATCGCCCAGGGGCCCAAACGGTGATCGGGGGTAGGCTGAATCGTCTGTGGGAAGGTTTGCACCCCACCACAAAGAAGCCCCTCTGAGGTACGCCCTCGAGGGCACTGGTTTTCTGGCTCGGCTCGGGGACGGCCCGAAGCGGCCAAGCAACCCACGGCGCGATATCGTGGGACATCGCGATCCGTCTGACCCGCAGTACTCCGCATTGCTCCTCCTCCTCCGCCCCTTTCTCTAGGCACCCGGGCCCCGCCCGCATGGCCGCAAAACGTCCACCGCTGGCCCCCCAGGGCAGCCGAAAGTCGCCGGAGGCCGCCGAGGGCCGCCGAGGGCCCCGGGGGGCGGCCGCGGGCCGCTGCCGCCGAGGGCCGCCGCGAGCCGCCGAGGGCTTCCGAAGGCCGCGGGAGGCCGCCGAGGGCAGCCGAGGACCGCAGGAGGCCGCGGAAGGCCCGCGGAGGGCCGCCGTGGGCCGCGGAAGGCCGGCCCGGCGGCCCGCGGTCTCTCGAGGAGGAGCGGGGCCGCGCGGTGAGCCGGGGCCGGTGTCTCCTTCCAGTCCGAGAATACGCAGTCGACGGGCTCGCATTGGCCGTCGCACGGCGGGAGCAGGCAGTGCTCCTCGTCGCGAAATCCCTCACGTTCCTCCTCCTCCTCCTCCTCCGCCTCCGCCTCCTCCTCCGCCTCCCTCTCCTCCAACTCCTCTTCCGCTTCCTCGTCCTCTTCCTCCTCCTCCTCCTCCGTAGCCATTTTGGCTCAAGCCGCTCATCAGCGAGCGACAGCCCCATTGCTCAAGCTCGGTTGGCCCCTGCTCCTCCGGCTTGCAGCTGGTGCTTCGCTCGTCGTGCTTGAGGATGTCGCTACGGGAACCTTTCAGGGGAGCATCGGCTGCCCGCCTGGCCGCCGACAACCTGGTGAGGAAATTGAAGGTGGAGATTGCGGAATTGCGCCGCGGGCTGGAGGCCCTACGCTCGACACCGACGGCCCGTGAGGGCGAGGTGGCGAGGCGCGAGGGCATTGCGCGGCCCGCGCTCCGTTCGCTGGGGCACGGCGTCAGGCTGTCAGGCGGACGGAGGCTCAGGCGCAACTGCGCCACGCCGAGCGCTGCCCACGCGCCGACGCCCCGCGGCAGGCATGGGTGCAGGCCCAGAAGGGGCCGCGCCGGGGCGCCGCGGGCGTGCATGCGGCGTCACCATGCCCCGAGGTCGATGAGGGTAGCCTCGACGTCGAGAGCCTGGTGGCGATCGGAAGCGACTACGGCGAGCCGGAAATGCAGGACTGCAGACCTGCTGTACGGGACATCTGCCTCGGTGGCGACCAGGGGCTGCAGCAGTTCACTGCTGCTGGCAGCGCCGTGTGGCTCGCATCTGGCTTGGAGGCGTCCTTGCAGCAGGGGTTGCTGGACACGCACCTCGTCCCTCGCCTCACTGGCATCCTCTGCTCGTGCGGCGCGGTCGTGTTCTGGGGCTGCCGCGGGCCCCGCGCGGCACGGAAACGCCGAGGACCGCCGCGGCGCAGGTGGACGTCGCGATGGGCGTCGAGGCGCTGGCAGGGCAGTTTCCAACCGACGGGGTGCCCCCCCCGCCCCCCGCGGTTGAAGGCTCTGAGGGTGGCATGTGGTTCTCGGCCGCAGCGGCCGCCGAACCAGAGGATCAGCAGCTCGACGTCGAGGCCGATTTCGTGTCGCCGCAGTCCGCCGCCGAGGTTTTCGACGAATGCGACGAGCTGGGGATTTCTGGCGCTGCGGAGCTGTTCGGCCTCGGCAGCGGCTTCTACTTCGGTGCCTCCCCGCCTCCGACGGCTGCGACTAGGAGGGACGCCGTGAACGACAGCCTCAAGGAGGCTGCAGGTGCTGCGCTGGCTGGGCTCCTGGAGGTTGAGCCCTTCAAGCCGCCTGCCAGCATCTTCGGGTCCGACGTGGGGCCATCCTCGAGCAGCTGTTCGGCGGCGGCGGCGGCGGGGTCAATTGGCCAAGCGGATTGCAATCGGGAGCGGCCAAGAGGGGGGTGTCCAAGAGGGGGGGTGCAAATCATGACCGGCGGCATGTGCGCGGCCCAGCGGGGGGGCCAGGGACGTGAAGAAATAAGAGGAGGCGCCATGAAATCTGCGGAGATATCATGGCCCGCGTCATGATATCCACCCCCCCTAGTCATCACCCCCCTCTTTTCCGTCCCCGATGCAAACAACAGTAGCCTTGCTGCTGATCGCCGCCGGTGCTCGCGGCGGCCTGGCTGACCCACCAGACGTGCTCCCCCTCCGTGCCGTTCGGCGTCGCCTACGGCCTCGTGTTCTTCGTCGTCGGGTACGGCATCGAGCAGGGGAGGAGCAGTTGCCGCCTCCTCCTCCTCCTCCTCCTCCTCCTCCTCCTCCTCCTCCTGCGCCCGTACCGAAGGGAAGGATTCAACTCATCAGCAATGGCTGCTGATGGGTTTCTACTGCTACCGCTGCTTCTCCCCGATCGGCGCCTCCCGCGGCTGTAAAGCGGCGGCGGCGGCAATGGGGGTCCCTGCTTGAACTGGTAACCGCGCTCTGTTGGAGCGCACCAGCGGAAAAAGCGGCGAATGAGAGAGCGGGGGAGCAAGGCATCGGCAGAGGCAGAGTCAAGAGGGGAGACGGATTGGGATTTGGCCAGGCAGTAGAGCTGATGGGACAAAGCTGAAAGGCTGAAAGCGAGAGGCGAGGGGTCGTAGAACCCGAGACGGTGAATCGGGTAGTGAGAGAAGAGGGGCTGGTGGAGGATACGTCCAAGCATGACGTGGACCTTCGGACAACTTGTGCAGTGTGATTGCGTGTCGCACGCTGCACGCCCGAACATACATTCAGCACACCACTCACCCGCAAACGTCTCGCATGAACTGTTGCCCCACCTGGGCAGGCAATTGCAAACAGCCTTTTTCGCTTTGGCCCATGGGATCCGACCGATGGCCAGGGCGGAGCGGGGGAGAGTCGGAGGAAACGAACTGAAAAATCGCGAACGAGGGTCGATGGGAAGGTGGGGGCTGAACATGTTGAGTTCGAAGCCTTCGACTCTGGCTGCGATTACAGCCGAGACGGCATCTCTGGCTGGGCCGCTCCATCTGAGGTGGCTCGGGAAACCACTGGCGGCCTCTCAAAGCTCCGAGACGAAACAGGGAGAGGGCCAGAACTGGGGGGAGCGGTGGCAAGCCAGAAACTCAACTACTGGGAGGCACTCCCGCGCGCTGACCACGACAGAGGCAAAGAGCTCGGCCCACATCGGCAGACTCTCTAGATGGCTGTGCGGATGGGGGCAACAAAATCAACTAAAATGACACTGCGGATGCGCGGGCCGTTCCACTCAGAGAGCTGGAACCAGTCGGCTCTGGACAGGCAGCAGTGCGGCACCCGAAACATTGATTCGATCGATTCGATCAGGCCTTCCTGGGAAGGGAGACGCTGGAACTGGCTAACGTTTGAGAGCGTCGAGAGCGCCCTGCCTTCGTACATGTGTGAGGTGGTGGCGTGGGGCGGGGTGGGTGGGGGGGCAGCGGCAACGATGGCGAGAGGCCTGCTGGACCATTCGGAGATGGGCCCATCCCATGAGCTCTGCCCAACACCAGGTCGCAGCATGGGGCAACAATACCTGAGAGGTGACTAACAATCTGGAGCTCCGACCGGTCGGGGATGTGAGTCGCAATCCAATCGGAGTAAACTCGAAGAACATCTGTCCACGAGATGATACAACAATTGTTAGCTTTGGATCGGAGGTTCGCGACTCTCTCGCATGCTTCGAAGGCAGTGTGGAGGCAACTCAGAGCTGACGCGCGATAAACAGCACTCCCTCTGTCGTCCGCAGACGCACGAACGAGGCAAAGCTGGGGGGGCCTCCGCCAGCACCTGTAAGTGACACATGACCGAGTGTGAGCTGGGAGCGCAGAACATCCCAGACGCAGGGCAGAGGGCCCGGGATGAGGACCCACGCCCTCCTCCTCCTCCTCCTCCTCCTCCTCCTCCTCCTCCTACCAAGACGCTGCACATCATCGTGCATCATGAGGAATTCGAGGAGAGGCTCGGGAATCTGGATGGCCTTAAGGACCGCGAAGGTCCAAGAGTGACTGATGATCGGGAAGGTCTGCCCAGAGTCGCAGGATGCCGGCGCGGGAAGCCGATGCTCGACGCTGCCCTCAATGGACGCGATCCTGCTGCTCACGACCAACTCCAAAATATCTTCTCCAAGGTTCCTGATAGGGGCGAAGTCTCCTTGGTGCCGATGGGTCATGTTGTGGAGACGCTTCGTGCGAGCACGGGGGCAGGCATCGGTGAGGATCTTGAAGTCAGCGTTTCTGAAGCCGAGAGGGCGGGTTTGGCCGGGGCGGCGGAGGACGCCAACTTCGTCATCGGCCTCGTTCCCTCTGGCAATGAGCGCGCCCTGCAGCGCGTGAAACCCGTAGAGAAACGGCTTGTCATGTAGCCCCGCCTCCAACACTAAGTCGGGCACGTCCCTCTACAGGAGGCATATCGAAGAAGAGTCAACAGTTATAGTCTGGGGACGACGCTCTTCTATGTTTGATCATTTTTGATTATCTGTTGACCATGCTGTCTTGTTCTTCCAAAACCCGCCTGTGGGAGGACATGCCCGACCTAACCCTAACAGAGGGCTAGGATGGCCGAAGGCGTCCCCGAAAACAACACCTCCCCGGCCCGAACTGCGCGCGGCTCGGCACTCTGTGGCGGGCCGTGGTCGCGCGGCTGGCCCTCGTCAACAACACGCGTCGGGAACCCCGAGCTCCGGCGAACTCGAGGCTTACGTTCCCCCTAGCCCAAGGAGTGCAGCATCGTTGGCGCATCCTTGGTGGACCCTGGTCCTCCTCCCGCGTCGCCCTTCCCCCTCCTCCATCCCCCTGGTCCCCTCCTGCCCCTTCGGAGCGCACATGATCGAGAAGAGGGAAAGGAGGATGGACCGAGGATGATGATGATGAGGAGGAGGCGGAGGACAAAGAGGATGAATAAGAGAGTTAATTATCGAGAAGAGGAGGAGAGGGAGGAGAAATCGAGGAGAAAGAGGAGAACTATGAGAAGGAGGAGAAGGAGAACAAAAAGGGAAGGAGGAAAAGGACGGTGAATTATCGAGAGAAAGAGGAGAGTGAGGGATCCAGGAGAAAGGTGAGGAGTGTAAGGGAAAGGAAGAGGAAGAGCAGAAGGATGAGAAGGACGAGGAAGAGGAGGAGGAAGAGGTGAAGGGATAACGATCGAGAAGAGGAGAAGGAGGAGGGATCGAGGAGAAAGATGAGACGGAGGAGGAAGTTACCCTTCAACGCCGCCGCTCCTGCGCCGTCTGCGCGCCGGAGCAGGCCACGTAACCGCCCGGAGACGCGAAGAGGGCCGCGGCCGCCGTCAGCAGGGCGCTCCCGTTCCCGGCGACCGCCGGCAGCAGCTGGAGGTTTCGCGACCGCAGCCTGCCGCCGCTCGGAGGCAAAGAGAAGGCACTAAGCGTGAACTTCCGGAGCTCCGCGCGGATTTTGTGGAGCGGCGCCCCGGCGGCGCCTCTGGAGTCGCCCCTGGTGCGCTCCGCGCTCTTACAGTAGGAGCTCGACCACAAGAAGCTTCCACAAGAAGCCCAACCCTGAGAACCCAGGACGTCTATTGATTTTGGGGGCGGGAACGTCACGCCTCCCATAGCAACGCCATTGAAACCCAAGAAACACAGGGCACCCTGGAGGCATGCAGGGTGTGTCTAGGCAGTGGTCTCCACTGTAGGGAGAGGGGCCCAGCGCCGATCCAAGAAATCTGTGCAGAGCTCCGAAACTTTCAGTGGATGCATGTTGTCCCTCATTCGAGCCGCCGCCCCGACTCGAAGGGCTGCTGCTCCGCGGGACCCTCCCCGACCGTTTTCATATGGCTGGGGATGGAGAGCCCAGATCTCCGACGAGTCTGGCTTTTCAATCGGCAATTTGTCCTCGAGTTCGGCCTCTGGGGCTACGGTGCAAGTGCCCACGGAGTCGCTCCAGGAGCGGAGGCGCGTCGGGCCGCCGCGTGACCCCTCTCATCTCCCTCCTCCTCCTCCTCCTCCTCCTCCTCCTCCACTTCTCCCCCTCTTAGCCAAGGAGCTTCGCTGGACGGTGCAAAGACAAAACAATTGCGGCTCCTCCCCGCAGCCTGCGGGGACCCCCGCGGCCCTGCGGGCCACCCCGCCTCGTGCTTCGGCACTCTGAAAATGCCTCTGGACTCTCCCGCCGCCGTGGCGGGGGCGTTTCCCCGCATGACTTGGCCCTGGGAGGGGGGGGAGGAAGGAGGACGGTGAGGGAGGAGGACAGGAAGGGAGAAGGGGGGGAAAGGAGGGAGGGAGGAGGGAGGAGGGAAGGAGCAGAGAGGAGGAAGGAAGGAGGGGGGAGGGAGGAAGGACGAAGGAGGAGGGAGGGAGGAAGGAGGACGGGGAGGGAGGAGGGCAGGAAGGGCATGGCTGCGGCGCCTGGTCGTGGCCCCGCACTCGGCTACGCAGCCGCCCATGTCGGCCCAGCCGGACCAGGCGCAATAGAATGCTGGCGCACCCTCTCCCGCGCACGTCGAGTCGCACGGCGCCGTCTCCTCGCGCCCGGCGCCCGGCCGCCCGGCGAAGGAGGGACTGAAGGGAAGGACCCGATGGGGAAGTGCCACAACGTCTCTGCATCCACAATGGAGGCCAGTCCACAAGAAACCTTCCGCAAGAAACCCAACCCTGAGAACCTAGGATGTCCATTGATTTTTGGTGTGGGAGCGGCACGCCCTCCACAGCAAAACTATCGCAACCCAAGAAACCCAGGACACCCTGAAGGCAAGCAGGGTGCTTCTTGGCATGGGCCCCCACCGTACTCACTGCCCACCTTCACCCTCGCGTTTTGCTCCCTCCCTGCATCGCACGATCGCGGTCTTTCCGCCGAACCACCCGGGCCCGGGGCATGCGCGCGGACGGGCGGGGGTAGGGAACGTACGGAGGGGGAGGAGGAGGAGGAGGAGGAGGAGGAGGAGGAGGAGGAGGAGGAGGAGGAGGAGGGCGATGGGGGAGGAGGAGGAGGAGGAGGAGGAGGAGGAGGAGGAGGAGGAGGAGGAGGAGGAGGAGGCGGAGGAGGAGGAGGAGGAGGAGGAGGAGGAGGGGGGGGAGGAGGACACCCTGCCCTGCCAGCGCTGCTCGCTTCAGGCAAGAGCGCCTCAGCCTGCGCTCGCCCACCAACGCAGGGGGCAGGACGTGCCAGATCGGTGGGACGCGAACTTTGTGAATACTCAGATGCGCGTGCGTGGGGAGTGCAGTCGGCCTTGATTGGACAGGACACGCGAGAGGACGCAAGACCCTGCCGAGGGCCACATCGCCATAGGAGTGTAAGAAGGCACGTGTCGCGAGGCACAGGACACAAAGGTACCCTTGAGCTGGCAAGGTCGACCTACAAATCCGGGCCGACTGTATAGCCGGTCGACCTGGACGTGGAAGTGGTAAGTGGCAGAGAGCGTAGAGGAGTGCAGAGAAAGAGCAGCGTGAGAAGCGCAAAGGCTGCACGGAGTGCTGAGAGCGTGGAACCTGCAAATCCGCTGACCCTCTCGAGGGGGCCAACAAGCCGCGTGGCGGAGTACTTCCTGCACCCTATGGCAGTCCCAATTTCCAGTCGCCCATGTTATAGCTCTACTCTCTGCTTCCTACTGTAAATTTGCATTCCGCGCAAACGGATGAGCCGAAACGGAACCAGTCCCTCCCCCCACGGGGTTCTCAGAATTCCCCGTGGCCCTGGGATTAGGTCGGGCATGTCCCCCTACAGGGAGATTTTGGGCGAATCACTGAAAATACGAGAAAATAGCCCAACAATGCTCAAACATAGTTTTTTTTAACAAAAAAAAAAAACGTCCCCTGTCTATTGTTTGACTATGTTTGAACCTTCCTCCTGTAGGGGGACAGGCCCGACTTAACCCTGGGACCCATCAGACTCATGGTAATCGCGCCCCCATGGCCATTTTCTTCGAGAACGCACCAGGTGCGCGCTCCCAAAGCAATAGTCCTTTGTAAAGCACTCCCTTAGACAGACTCCGCGACCAGACTCCCTTATACCCATGTACATACATATATGTATATATATATATATATATATATATATACACACTAGAACCATCGCGCGCGCTTCGTGCGCGCTCAAATTCAAGCTAGGCTTCATAGGCTATTTCATGTACTCTCATTTTGGTCGCTTCTTGCGTCCAGGGACTCCCTTGGAGGCCCTGCGCAAGCCTCGGAATCGTAAAGAAGGGGAAGTCCGGAAATGTAGAAATCATTCATTTCCTTTGCGTATTCCACGCCTTGGTGCCCTCAAAGGCTCCCTGGGTTCTTTTGGGGGAGTTCATGGGGGGTCTGAATTGTGGTCTGTTGTGCAAGAATAGACCGTGGGCCAAACTTGGAAAAACAAGAATTGTGGGATTCCCATGTTTTTCCAGTTCCTCGGTGCTGTTGGGCGCTGTTTTTTGCTTGTGCCTCGCGGGTTTTGCTAGGTGGGATCTTCCGGACCCCCTGGGGGTTCTGGAGGCCTCCTGGAGGCCTGGAGAGTCGTCGGAAGGTGTCTCGGGCTGCCCGCTGGCACCTCGGAAATGCCTTCCCTGGGCTGCCCGCAGGCGCCTCCCAGTTGGCCGTTCTTTACATTCTGGGGGTTCCTTCGGGTCGTCTTGGGCTGTCCTTGGGTCCTTGGGCGTCTTGGGGACCCCCCCCGGGGAGCCGGGAAGCGCGGTACCGGCCAGATGTCAGGGGATGTGTGGGATCTCTGAGTGGGAGTCCACTTTGAAAAAAAAGGGAATTCTTGGGATTCCCTCTCTCTCTCTCTCTCTCTTTTACAAAATCCTCGATCTTCGAGGGTTGGAAGCGGGAAAAAGTGAGACGGCGAAAAACATTAGAATAGCCATTGGGAATCAACGATTTTACCCTCTTTGGGCTCTCTCGGGACGGCTCTCGCAGCTCTCTTGGGCTGTTCTTGGAGCCTCGTCGAGTTTTTTGGGGGGCCTCTCAGGGATCGGGAGCGTGTTGGGAGCTTCTGGGTGGTCCCGGAGGCCTCTCGGAGGTCTCTGGAAGCCTCCTGCTCCCGCTCTTGGGCCCATCTTGGGCCTGTTCTGGGGTGGTCTGGGGCTGTCCTGGGCGCCTCTTCGGCAATCTTGGAGCCTTCTTGGCCCGTCTTGGGGCCGTCCTGAGGGTCTCTTGGGTGGTCTTGGGGCGGTCTTGGGCGGCTCTTGGGCGTTCTTGGAGCGTTGGAAGCTCAAAAAAGCGAGAAGCCACAAACATTTAAAAAATCATAGAAATCTGCGAATTTGGCCTCTTCGGGCCGTCCCGAGACGCCTCTCGGACCTCTCGTGCGGTCTCATGGAGGCCACCTGGGAGCCTCGAGAGCCGTCGGAAGGCTGACTTGGACTGCTTGGAAGCGTCTTGGGCCATCCTTTCGCATTCTGGGGGCTCCTGGGCTGGGATGCACAAAGACGTACTAGTACTATATGTCATCCTTGGACGCGCGCGTCCGACCCGAACATATAGTATACCCATCTTGTAGTATATCGTTTCCCGAGCGGTGTGGCCAGAATGCGCCCGCCACAACGAATACACTATAAGATTCCTCGGTGCGCGCATCGCCCCCGGGGGGGCGACGCACATATAGTATAAGTATGTTGGGGCTCCTGGGCGGTGTATTGGGCCATCCTGGAGCGCTGTGGAGGCTCCCCGGGCGGCCTCGTTTTACTTCCGCCGACCCTCCGCCGCGGAAGCGATGACAACTCCCTCGTTCCTCGAAGGCAAGGCCCTTGTCGGAACGCCCCATATATGTATATGCGTAAACTTATGTACATACATACATATATATACACGTAAGAGAGAGAGAGAGAGAGAAATAAAGAACGACAAGCAGACTGACAGAAACGGACAGAGAAAGGGAGAGCGATGGGGGTGCGGGGCGTCGGGGTCCTGACCCGCATGGCAATCTGCCCCTGGGCGTCAACACGTGACACACACACACACACACACACACACACACACACACACACACACACACACACACACACACACACACACACACACACACACACACACACACACACACACACACACACACACACACACACACACACACACACACACGGAGCACCGCCTTGGCTTCCCGACGCTTGGGTGTGACGCATATGAAGGCCGCCATCGTCCTCCACGAACGCGGGCATATTGGAGCTCATATTTTCCGCGATAGCGCCCGTGGCCAGCCCCGCCCCCGCCCCCTTCCCTCTCCCTGGTCACGTCACGATTCCTGCCGGCGCCGTCACGCCCGTTATCGCCAGAGCATTAAAGAACAGAGTCTAACACTGCCAACACCAATCGCCTCGCACAAGGGAGACCCCGTGCATCGACATGAGCCCCGTCAAAGCCTGTGTCCTCGACTTTCGGAAAAACGGCAAGGTGCAAAGCTTCAGAGACACATGGACTCCCCCTCAGAATGCCCCAACTTACAAACAAATGCTCTACATACAACATCCCCGCCCATTCCCCAAATCGGATTCGAGGAAGAAGAGGAGAGGAAGAGGACGAGGAGGGGGAGGACTCCGTACCCATTCTGGCTCAAGGTGCGGGCCCGAAGCCCTGGCCTGCGCCAGCGCGAAGTCCTCAGGTGGGCATCCGCGTACCCAGCGAGACGTGTCTGATCCCAGGTCGAGGCCAGCGCACTTCGGAGACGGCTCATCTTGCCTCTTCTCATCCCTGCCGTCCTCTTGCTGCTCAGTCTCGTGCTCTGTCCCCCCATTCATCCCATTGCTCGTCGACTGTGTGAGCCCAACGGGAAGAGCTCAGAAGGATGGGCTACGCTTATGTTGCTCGCATCGTATTTCAAGACCACATCCCAGAAATGATTTCGAGCACCCACCAACAGGTATCGAAACAATATCGGGTGAGTATCGCAGCCCAGGGCCCGACACGTGAACACCCTGCAGGTTCGGTATCTTCTTGGTGCTGGAAAGTCTTTCTGGTGACCAGAGCTAAAGTAGGTTGTAATAGCATAAAGCTTCGCGGCAAGGACTCATCACAGGACTGTATCAACCGCTGGCGTCAAGTTTGTATCGCCGAGCTTCTCGCTGCACCTCCACCAGGAAGACGGGTTTCCAGCACACATCCAATCTACGCGGCAGTGGATGCGTAAGTCTACGCTTCCATCACGCTTCCACACACGCTTCCAAGCCGACCCAGCCACATCGCCGGCACACTTCCACTTAAACCCACCCATCCAGGAAGACGGGCATCCAACACACATCAAGAAGCGCCGCCAGACACGTATCCCTCGGGCTGCATGTCAATGATCATGCGTCGCAATTCTTGCCTGCCCCGCCAATCGTAAACATATCTCCTTCTGCGAGTGCCAGAGCTGCCGCCTCCGCTGGCCGTGCCCGCAAGTCTTCTGCAGCACACAGCTGTCTTGAAACACGGCAAGCGTGACATTGAAACTGCGACCATTGGCACGATTATTACTTAAACGGTTGAGACATAGACATGCCCTGGCGATTCGCAGAAAAGGGACAGAGGCACGCAAGCTCTGGCAAGCGATCTTGCCACATGCTTGACCCCACAATTGACTGACCAATGTTAGCAAGTTTCCTGTGGTGGCCAAGATGGGGACCACATTTCCCATGTATCATCAATGTGCCGCCATGACGGCCAAACCGACTGAATACATCACGAATCGGATCTCCTGTCTCATTAGTCATCGTTCCTATCGCAGGGTGAAACAAGTGGTGATTCGTGTACGTAAGCGTCAATTCCAAGGCCTGCGAGGCAACTGGGCAACATATCCGAGGCTACAATACCCAAGGCAAAACGATGACCATCAAACACAATCACTATGACCCAAATATCCAACACGACACACTCAAGAAATTCACAACCCAAGAGATGGCGTGCCATCATCCGTGTATGATGTTCACATCTTCATGTCGCGCAATCATGTGCATTGTTTGGGAAATCCTCATTGCGAACAGGGCCCCAGAATAGCGTAGATTTCCTGAGAACGTTCGACCGCAGCTAAAGTGGTGTTGGTGGGTTTGAGGCGCACGAGGTGCGGGGCGGGTAGTGGGAGTGGTGGTGTACGTCCTGCGTGAACGCTAGCCATTCGTGGGCTAGTCTCCCGCTTGCTCTGGGCCGCCATGACCTCCACAGGCGTATGTTTAAATCCTCCACTCCCTCCTTCCTCCTGCTTTTCTTTGCCTCTCTCTACGCGTTCCGCATTGTCTGCGCAGGGGCGATCTGGAGAATCGTAATGCGGCACTGTTTGAAATCAGCTCGGCAGAGGGATTCTTTGTATTGGCCCTGCACTGTGGCGCGTAGGCGCTTGCACCCACATGGCGGAGGAGGGCTTGGGAGACGGAGAGGGGGTCGGGGAGAGACCAATCATAATGTAGCACTGTTTGAAAGTAGCTCGGCATAGGACATCGTCACATTGGCCCGCACTGTGGCGCGTAGGCGCCAACACTCACATGACGGAGGCGGGCTCGGCATTGGGGGGGTGACAACGGCAATGATTGGATATTGCACGCCCCTGCTTGCCTTTGAGTGTTTGCTTGTTCGGATATCAACGGTCCGCCTGGACAGTCAGGATAGGGCAGACCGTGTAGCGCATTGACACGTCTGGCAGTGGCCCTCGGTGAGGGCCTTGATGATGCGACGGATGGGTAAGCTTTGAGTTCCAAGGCGTTGGAGGTGGTGGGGGACACCTTTCACACAAGTGTCAGCTAGCGATTCGCAATATCTTGGCACGTCGCACTCAGAACGTTTAGTGCGGAGACGTGCCAATGTGGCACATCACAGTCCGTGGCACGTCACAGCTTTGGACGTTCCGCCCTCGGCGAGGGCACGGAGGTGGTGGAAGCTTGTGGTGCGATGAAGGAGGAGGAGGAGGAGGAGGAGGAGGAGGAGGAGGTGGAGGGTGCGTTTCACCACGCCGTTGCGCGTGAGTGCTCTGCACGCCCTCGCCACGGACAGCACTTGCTATTGGGGGGGGGGTAAAGGGCTTGAGGAAGGAGCCAAGGGCGAGGGGAGGAGGAGGAGGAGGAGGAGGAGGAGGAGGAGGAGGAGGAGGAGGGAGGAGGAGGAGGAGGAGGAGGAGGATAGGGCGTCGACGGCGCAATCTGCCAACGGCCCGCGTGCAGGCACCTGCCAGCGCATGCCCGCCCAGCGCTTCGACTTCCCTTCCTCCGCCATCCACTCCTCCTCCTCCTCCTCCACCTCCTCCTCCTCCTCCTCCTCCCCTTTCGATCAGAAGCGTCGAAGGAGGATCAGCAGCAACAGGAACAGCTGCCTCAAGACGCACCCCTGTCTCAAAACGCACAGCTGCGAGAAGCGCCGCAACAGGAGCAGCACAAGACGCACAGCTGTCTCAAGACGCACAGCTGCGAGAAGCGTCGCGGGGAAAGCCAGCGCCGCGGAAGGCTCAGACCCCCCCCACGCTCGGTGGACCCCCCCCGAATCGGCCCCCAGGCCAACGTTCTGGAAACCCTTCGCCTGCTTGCAGGTGAGAGTTCCCGTCGTTCGTCTGGGGGACGCCTGTCAGGGGTTCCCATGAGCAGGGGGAGAAGCCTTTGCGCTTTCCACTTTGGGGAGTGGCCCCCTGCCGCCGCCGCCACACCCTCTCCCATCCACTCTCGTGAAGCAATGATGGTCTCCCTCCCCCCATTTTCTCCCTACTGTTAGGTCGGGCGTGTCTTTGGCAAAAAATCAAACATATGTTTAAATAATCAAAAATGCTCAACAATAGTCAAACAATCGCCCCCATGATATTTTAGGCTATTGTCGAATACTCCTCCTGTAGAGGGACAGGCCTGACTTAACGCTACTGTCCCCTGTCCTTTATCCTTCACTGTCTGCCTTCAGCTGGCGACTCCTGGAGCGAACGCTCCGGGAGTCGCCGGCAACGGAGTTTGAGGAGTTCCCCAGGCCCGGCTGGCCCAGTGGGGGGGGGGGTCGGCAGAATCCGACGGATTCAATGGCCTTCAGTGCTTCAGGGGGGAGAGCTGCGACGATGGACAGAAAGTCCCGAGGGACGTATCGCATGGATGCCGAAGGGCTTTCACCAGGACCACTTGTCCAGTCTGAGCCGTTTTGTGACGACCCCGGGGCCCAGTAAGGGTTCGATTGGCCAAAAATTGCGAAACCCGAAAATCCTTAGCACGCCTCCTCTAGAAGAAAGATCAACTACCGAAATATGAACTTCCGCAACTCCGCGCGGATTTCTTGGACCCACGCTGTAGCCTCCTCCCTGGCGCGCGGAGCGCGCCAAGGGCGACGCCAGAGGTTCCGCTGGCGGGGTCCAGTGCGGATCCGAGAAATCTGCGAGGGGCTCCGACAGGTTATGTTTATGCAGCTGTTTCTTCTTCGGTTCTCCCCATGGCCAGAGGAGGAGGAGGAGGAGAGGAGGAGGAGGAGGAGGAGGAGGAGGAGGAGAAGGAGTAGGAGGAGGAGGACGAGGAGGAGGAGGAGGAGGAGGAGGAGAGCCTTCTTACCTCGCTCGCACGCGGAAGCTCCTTGGAGTGCGACTCGTTGCACGGCCTCCCGCAGAAGTTGGGCGCGCGCCGGATGGCCCGGCGACGGTACTTCTGCCCCGCGCAGGACGAGGCTGGGCACTCGCTCCAGTCGGACCACTGGGAGGCCGCGGGTACTTTCACGCCGAGGCGTATCCTTGTTCTGCTTCTCCCTCCCTCCCTGCCTCCCTCCCACCCTCCCTGCCTCCCTCCCACCTCCATCGTCCTGCTCCACTTCGGCCTCCTCCTCCTCCTCCTCCTCCTCCTGTCGATCCTTGCGCAGCCAAGCTCCTCCAGGCGAGAACACTGGGCGGCGGGCGACGGCGAGCGACGCGAAAAACGAGGCCAGGGCCAGCAGGCGCGCGACCGCACCGCTAAGGCCCCGACCGATGGAGGGGCACAGGCCGACCCACGAAGGATTTGGTGGACGGATCCTTCCCCTCCTTCAGCTGCTTTAGGGTCTTCTCCGCTGGCTTGTTGGGAGGCGCGCCAGGGCACGGGCCTCCCAACAGGCACAGCTTGACAGACCCGAATGCAGCGCACGAATTACACCACACGACTCGGCCGCCACTAATCCAGAGCTTATGGCTGGCGTGGGCGAGCCTGGCCAGCCTGGGGAGGCCAGAGCACGGCAGCGCGCACACTGACGCTTCTGAAAACCCCGAGGCGCCACAGTTCACACAGCGGTAGGCCCCCTTCCCCTTAGTGCCCGTCCTGTGGACAGCGTGCCCCTTGAAATCACAGACCAGAACTAAAGGGTCATGCTTGGGGCGGGGAGGGGCCTTACATTTCTGGACGTCGGGGAAATTCTTCTTGCTGAGCATCTCCCCGAAACACGCAATAAACCTACTGAAGTCTGCTACCTCCGAAGTTCTTTGTCTCTGGAGGGCGCGGAGGCGAGGATTGCAAGGGTGCTCCTGGGCTCCGCGCTTAGCAAGACCGTCAGCAATGCCATTGCCGACCCAGGCCCAGTGGGGGGCCTCCGAGGTCTCAAGACATCTACTCCAGGAAATGTGACTCTTAATTTTGCGCAGGCAGATCATTTCTTGTCCTATATCTAGAACACGATCCCAGACGAGCTCCCAGACCTCCGAGAACGCCACCTCAGACATGTCCGACTCGGGCCCGCGGGCCCACACGTCCAAGACGGCCTGGCAATCAGTGTAGATCTGGGTGCACTGCGAGGGCCCAATGAGCTTGAGGGCCATCAGCAAAGCATATAGTTCACCAGCTCCTGATTCCTGGACAGGATGAGGAAGGGGTCCAAACGCACTGCCCTCGCAACGACTGCTCTGGTCCATGGCCACCGCTGCCCAACCTGCACGAGCCGCATACAGGGAGGTCGCGTCAAAGCCTGAGCCGTCGATGCATATCCTGCTGCCTAGGAAACCTGCTTCTGGCACTTTATCCCACCGCCTGACCTCGGCTGTGGAAACCTTGGGCCAGTCATACCCTGGGTCAGCAATGAGCGCTCTCGTCGACAAGAAATCGTAGGCGCCCAGCTGCAAGCCTCTGTCCACGCACTGCGGCAGGTCTAAGTCCCGCCTAAACAGAAGGAAACCATCACACTGGTATAAACGATGCTGTGGCGTGCCGTTATACGTGCCGCAGACCCTGCCCAGCGGCGTGATGGCTCGCCTGTCCTGTAACAAAACATCCTGAGTGGGATGACCTCCTGCGACTACATTACACAGAAAGGAGGCAGCTGAGTTTCTCCCCGCTTTCCTGAGGCCTCTTAGGGCATCCATGATGGGCCCCAGGAGGGGAGGAACCACACGCCCAGGATCTTCGGGATCAGGGGCCCCAACATGCTCCAGGAGCCTCATATGTGTACTCTAGTCAATCAACTTAGTAAGGGTGCGCTTCCCGAAGTGGTTGAGGTCCAGTAAGAAACCACGGCAAGACTCCCAGGTGTCCCAAGCAGTAAACCTCCAGCCCAGACGATCCAGGGTAGCCCACACCGCTCCAGCTGGCCCCCGAACCTTGTCCCAAGTCCTGGAAGCAACCGTAGGGTAGGCCTGCACGCAGGCCCTCATGATGTGCTCGGGGGCCCATTTCTGTTTCACAGCCTGTTGCCACATCTTGAGCGGCAGGAGGTTGGCCTGGAACACAGGGTCCAAGCCCTTAGTAGGGCCCAACAAAAACTGCAGAGTCCTGGAACGGCCCCGTCCTTTGCCGAAAGATGCCTGACCTATGATAGAGCGCAGCTTCATGACCGTGGAAGTGTTCATGCCTATGACCGCTGTGCCGTAAAAAGCTGCTGGCAATCCACCTGTCTTCGCGACCTTGCACAAGCCCGAGTAGCCCGAGCGAAGCCCCCTAAATCGGCGAACTCGGGGCCCCAAGCTCTCCCATCTCGATCCCTGGACTGGAGTTCGGCGCCGACCTGCAGTGTAGTCAACCCCGGGGTTACGAGCCGACTTGACCACTTGGAATTTCCAACGCAACAGTCGTGTGTTCACCCGAACTTCAATATCCCGAGACGTCGCCGTGATCAGGCCTTTCGTGGGAGAGATCAGGAAACCAAGTTTCTCCAGATTGCTGCACAGCGTAAAAGTAGCATCGGCCACCGTTCTCGCCACCGCCCTAGCCTTACCTGTAGCACCGCACGTAATATCATCGACTACATTGTAGATCCGAACCGACGGGAACTTCGAAACCACCTGGTCTAGCGGGCCAAGAAGGAGGCACTTTAGCAGGGTGGTGGCGAACGTATAACCTGCCAAGACAGCCTGGAAGCAGGCGACAAACTCAGAGCAGACCCTGCCCACCTGCAAGACCCTCTGGCCCCTGCACGAGCAGAGGAGGTAGCGCAGGCGGTACAGAGGAAAGCCGTGCTTGATGGCCGCCGAGGCCAAGAAGAAATGGACCACCTTCTCATAGCACTTGGCCATATCGACCAGGACAGGCGCTGCTGAGTGCCCAAAAACGTACGCGTGCTCCATCCTAATAGCCAGCTCCCAAACAGCTCTTTCGCACGAACGCCCCCTGCTTCCGAAATGGTAAGGCCTGTCATGGGCCCGCTCCCAGCGACCTGCCTGTACCCGAGAATATTTCCCAAAGCACCTGACGCTCCCAGACAAAATTCCGATTGGCCGAACTCCACCTTCCTCGTCCTTTGGGATCATGGCTATGATAATCGTGGCCAGGACCTCGGGGAGCTTGCCAAGAGACTCCATCCAAAACCAGAGAGCAGCCACGCACTCCAGTGCCCCGTCGCTGAGGATCTCGAAATCCCTGGGGTGTGTCCTATCAGCGCCTATCGCCGTCCTAGCCGTGAACTTCCTGGAGCACTTTCGGATCTGATCGGACGTGGCCAAGACCATGGGCTCCTCGGAGGACTCGGAGATCTTCTCTGTGAGGAGGCTGATGGGATCAGGGAGGTCCTTCATGCTGGGCTTGGGGCTCCATATCCTAGCCCACTCGTCCATGAGGTCGTCGATGCGCCCCATGGGCCCCTTGGGGGGCCCTCCTTTCGGGTTCGATGGAACCCATCCCAAGGGGACCTTGGTGAACTCATGGGCCAATCCAGCCCCATTGTCCAGACTTGTCTGGACCCAAGATCTCCAGGCCTTGCCCCGATCCGATTGAAACTGCTTCTCAAGCCGCTCTGCATTACGCTTGGCCTTGGCGCACAACTGCACGAGGCCACCGAAGTCGAGGCAAAACAGGTCCGTCTCAGAGGCTGCGCACTCTTGCCAAAAAGGGTCGGCACGGAGCGCTGCAGGCCCTTGTAGCACATGGAGAAAAAACTGTTCTGGCATCTGGTCGGTCCAAAGGCACTCCTTTCCTGACGAGATAGCTAAGCTCCTGAATGTGGATGGACCACTTCCTCCAAGCTCTCCCTTTGGCCGATGAGACAGGGTACGCACCGCCCGAGACTGAAACAGCTGGATAGATTTTGGTCTTCATCCCTTTGGCCCGACCGCGATGCTTGTGCGCATCGCTCTTGTCAGTGCCGTGGATACCTATCATCTCATCCTCGAAAAGCTGGCAAAACCTAGCGTAGCCCCAGTCCAGAGCTGCCTGGTCGCCGCGCGCCTCGAGCTGAGCTAAACATTCAAACCAATCTGGAGGTGGAGGTCGTGGACCGAGAGGGGCTTCACGAGGGAACACCTTCGGACCTACAAGGACCCTGGTCTTGAGCTCTCTGGGGGCACCTGAGAGGTCCAGCGTGACGGGCCAGTGCGGGGCAGTAGTTCCACGTCTGTTAAGCGACACAGCGTCGAACAGAGGCCCGATCGACTTCGAGATGACGAAAAAGTCGATGGTGGTCCAAGAGGTCGACGATTTCCGACACGTAGGCTCAGAGGTGTGGAAAATTGTGCCCCCAATCTTGTCCCCCCAACCCGTGTCCGCTAGCAGCTTCGGCGATTTGTTGAAATCCCTTCCTTATCACGAAGGGTAGCTGCCAACCGTGGAGCTCCTCGCCAAGCCTGTTGAGGATCTGGAAACTGCCGAGGCCCAGGGGGTCATCGCAATCGAGATAGAGTGAAAACACCGCGATACCTCCTGGCACAAACATGTCCAACCAAACGCCGCAGATTCGGTGTGGCTGAGGAAGAGGGCGGACAAGCGGTAAGGATCCCATCCCGATGTGACTCCTGACAGCTATCCCCGTCCCGCAACTGAGCCCTCCCTTGTCTGTGGTCCCGCTTGGGTGCACGAGAGCATTCCAACCTAACTGGCGAAGCTGGTGGGTACCCTCCCGATGATCATCTCCGAGAGCGAAATCCTGGAAAACGACAACCTGGCCGAAAGACTCGGACTGCAAATAAGTCTTCAGAGATTTCCAAGAAGATGAATTACAGGTTTCAATGGTCATGCAACGGCGGCCTGCTTTCCCCGAAATACCAGCACTACAATCAACAGACAGGCCATGACGAGCGTCAGCCGAGCCGGCGTTGCCCCCATCACCAGGACGGAGACTCAGCGGCAAATGCTGCGCGTCTGAGGCCTGCTGCGTCCTGCAAAACCCTACCACGCCCCCTGCACGCGCTGTTTCCCTCGCCTCCTGTGGAGAGGGTGCCCGGGCCGAGGCATAGGTAGGTGGCGACTGTGAACCTGGGCACCCCAACGGGTCCCAGGATTTGCGTCCTAACGCCATGCTCGTACACCCA